CAACAGGAGCCACAGATATTAACTCAGACCCAGCTTGCTGAAGGGCCACAGACCCAGACATGGCCCTCAGCTGCAGCACAGGGCCCTGTGTGGCAGCACAGACCACCCAGACCAGTGTAGCTGGAGTTTTCCTACCTGGCCCACAGTCAGGACAAATCTCTATCACCTGCCAGTCCCACAGCCCCTCAGACCCGACCAAGTAAACACAGAGACTTATATTGGTTACAAACTGTATGGCCGTGGCAGGCTTCTTGCTAACTGTTCTTACAGCTTAAATTAATCCATTTCCATTAATCTATACCTTGCCACATGGCTCGTGGCTTACCGGCATCTTCACATGCTCTTTCTCATCATGGCGGCTGGCAGTGTCTCTCTGACTCAGCCTTCCACTTCCCAGCTTTATTCTCCTCCTTGTCCCGCCTACACTTCCTGCCTAGCCAATGGCCAATCAGTGTTTTATTTATTGACTAATGAGCAACACATTTGCCATACAGAACATCCCACAGCAGACCAGAATGGCTTCAGTGATGGCATGACCCTCAGACGTCAACAATGTTGCACATTGGACCCACACCCCTGTCTTCCTTGTGGCCTTTGGTGGCAACATGGGCCTCAGACATTAACATAGACTCTGGTTGCTGTAGGGCCACAGACAGGGTCCTTGCCAGCAGCTTAGGCCTGGATAAGCACAGGCCACTCAGATCAGCCTGGCTCCAGCAGTGGCCCTCAGACACCTACATGTCCACAGGTGGCAGTCCAGATGCTGAGCATCCTCGGGGCATTTGGTGGCAATATGGACCATGGATATCCACACAGACCCTGGCTGTGGTAGGACCATGGACCCAGACATGGCCTTTGGCAGCAGCCTAGGTCTGCATGTCATCATGGCCTATGGCAAGAAGGCCTACCACTTCAGCCTACTACTCACTGCCTTCATTTCTTCCATTCTGCTTCTTTCCACAGCACATGGACTATTTTACTTTTTCTCTTCCATTTCTCAACCACATATTTTCTCATCATAATGGGATCTACCTGCCCATCACTACAAGGCTTCTGGCTGGCTCATGAATGTCTAGCACCCACCTAAGCAGAATTGCATCAGGGGAAGGGAAGGAAAAACCGTGGTTTTCTTCCCTAATCATGTTTGCAAATGAATTAAACAGTGAAGTATAAACTTAATCCCAGAATAAATAACTGAAACAGCTCTTAAAGGGACTCAGGTCTCGAAGGACTAAACTGGTGTGCCTGGTTCAATGAAGCTGTCCAGGACAATTCTAAAAACCCAACTAATGTATGTGTATTATTTGGATAAAAATAAAACTATTTAAAGTATAAAACTTAAAATTTTTACATGAAAGACCACATGGGTTATTGGTTTCTTTCTTCTTTCCTTCCTTCATTCCTTTCTTTTTTTTCTTTTTTTCTCTTTCTTTCCTTCTTTCCTTCTTTCTTTCTTTCTTTCTTTCTTTCTTTCTTTCTTTCTTTCTTCTCTGTGTGTGTGTTTGTGTGTGTGTGTGTGTGTGTGTGTGTGTGTGTGTGTGTGTGTGTGTGTGTACATCATGGTTACATGAGAGGAAAATCATGGCTTGAATGTGGCAGAGGACAACTCTGGAGGCAGTTCTCTTCTTCCATCTTTACATGGGTTTCTGGAATCAAATTCATATTGCCCGGCTTGAACGGCCACCAACTGTATCCACTGAGCCATCTCACTTGCCCATGGCCTATTGTTTTGGGGCTTTTTCTGAAAGATTTAAAATCACCTAGATGCAATCTTCCTTTCAAATGCAAACAAAAAAGATTCAAGAAGTCTCACTTTAGCATATTTGAAATGTTTTTGCCTTTACTTTTTTTTCTGGTTCTGTGGATGGAATAACCTAACCATAACAACTAACTGTAATAATAAACGTAAATTACACTTTTTTAAAAAGGGAAATAATATATAAAAAAAATCCTCCCTTCTGACCAGTGACTGTAACCAGTATGCCTTTACAAAGAGAACAGGTTGAGAAATGGGTATGGGTGGAGTTTTTAACAGGAGAGCAGAGTTACTGCAACCAAATAAGTCTGATGAGCAAGCACGTAGACCCCTCAATGGGCACTCCTGAGGTGTAAATATTTTCATTCCTTCCAGTTTGGTTGCTTCATCCTTGCCACTTAGCCTGAAAATGGCTGGGCTTTTCTCTTCTGGCAGACAAAGGCCTTGCTACCTGAAATAAGCTACTTGGTCAGACAGATGAAGCATGTGGAGTTTTGTTCTATTTACTTGGTGTATATAAATTATAAGACCCTTGTTCTTGGGAGCACTGGCAATCTCTCCCACTTTATTGAATGTACACAACTGAATATAGAGAGCCACCTGTCTCCCTGTGGTATGCAGCTGGCTGGTCACTGTAGTCATTGAGTCTGTTCTTCGGGTCTCTTCCAATAAAGGCAGGCACCATAAAGACACTCTCTCTGTTAGATCTGGATTTCACAAAATGGTACACAAGAACACTCTGTGGAGTGTGACGTGTTCTTGCTGCAGGGCAGTATCTGTCACAAAAAGAAGACTGCTCTGCATTGTGCATGCACACACTCTATCCATTCTGATAGTTCCTGGAATACATCATATTGTATTTTCTTCTCTTTGCTCATCTTTTGCTATTGTCCTTCTAATTGATGTGATGTTGCCAGGTAACCTCATGAGATATGGTATAAACAGACATCCAAGAAGAGTGTCATGTGTTGCTAACTGTATTCCACATGAAGCAGGGCAGCTCAACATTCTATTTATAGAGCACTAATGGAGCATACCTCCATAGGCATGGTGCCTAGAAGCTGCAGTGTGAAGTGCCTTTGCAATTGACCAAGGGGCTTTTTCTGGGGAGTGTACTTTTATTTTTGTATATAAACAGCTCCATATGTTTTGCAAGGCTGAGTTAGGACTGTCATTTTATTTATATTCTCTCTCACTCCTCCCTCTATTTGGGATCAAAATCAGGGTCTCCTGGATCCTAAGTAAGCACTCTATCACAGGACAACACCCCAACATTGAGGTTTGATTATTAAACTTTATTATTAGTAGTATTGTTGTTGCTGCTGTTATTGTTAGTGTTATAAAGTACCAGAAGAAAAGAACTCCTGAGAGGCCTAAACAAGATGAATGGAGTCTTTATTTACTGACAGTGGGGCTGTTCCAGGCAGATAAGCAGGAAGCAGCCCCAACCTCCAGTTGGTTTGAGTTTTTAAGAGCAAAAACTGCAATTGTTATGTATACAGAAAGCAAATGTTTACAGAAGTGGAGAGATAACAGTTAAAGGATCAGGCAGCTAACCTTTAGCTCAAGGTCACACTGTATAGGAATTTAGGGCTGTTCCAGAGACCAGTTTTACCCGATTGTTTTAGACTTAGAGTATTTTTAGGAATACTTTCATGAGATGGCATAGCTATAGTTCAGTAGCCTGCTACAGCTATTATCCTCTGTGATGAAATAATAGGTATACCTTTCTTTCTCTATTAAATAATTCAAATACATCAATTTTCTGTAGCTCAATATTTAGTATTACTAAAGCAAATTACATTGCAAATTAATCTCTTTGCCAAAACAGAATAAGACAAGGTACTTTCTTGTCACCATATGTAATGCCTAACCAATGCCATTTAAAGAAGGAAGCTTTTATTTTGACTCATGGTTTCAATGAGTTTTAGCCATCATGATCAGGATGGCATGGTGGTAGAAGTGGTTCAGTCAGTTCCTAGTGGTGGGAGGACAAGGTGGCTTCTTATATCACAGCAGGCAGGAAGCAGAGAACAGTACTAGAAGCAGGCTAATAACATGGTGTCACTCAAAGACCCATTTCTGCCGTCCAGAATCCTTATCTCAAAGGTTTCCATTATTTCCCAAAACATTACCACCAACTAATGACCAAGAATTCAAACCCAGGAGCCTACGGGGAACACTTGGCCTTCAGTCTATATCACCTTTCATAGTAGATTAAGGCTCCTTAAGGCATGTTGCTGGAGAAAGGAGGGGTTTTAGTGAGGTTCTCTGCCATGTACATATTTGAGCTGTGAATGTGTACACTGCTAATGGAATGGCATATGTGTGCTAGTAACTTAGCAATCCTTTCTTTCTCACCTTCCCCATGGTTGTTCAAATTTTCAATAAAGGAAGTTTACAGTTGTACGGTAAAAGCTTATTATCTTTTCTATGGCCAATATAAGTATTAGAATCCTTGACCAAGCTTTGTATCATTTTTATAAGAATTAAATTAAAAGGTATATATGGGAATTTAAATCTTTATTTCTTATCAAATTTTTTCTTTGTTTCTTTGTATGACTTTTCCATAAAGGCAATATTTTCTAAACTTAGCAAGTTAAGTGGTTAGCAATTAAGTGAGGTTGTGGTTCCCACGTTAACTCACCTTCAACGGATCCATGTCTTTGGCTATAACTAAAACCTACTTGGAAAGGAGATTTCTGGGAATACCCCTTGTGCACTAGTTATGGCCCAGAACTGCAGAACAACTGTGAGGTTGACCACCCACCACACATAATGCAAACTGAGCACACCCAAGAATATTGTCCATCAAATATTTGCTATGAAAGCTGAATGTACCCAGATGTGTTCTTGTCACCATTTTCCCTCTTGAATTATAACCTTCAACTGAGCATGCTCAGTAGCATCCACCTAACTGAATATGCTTGGATATGCTTGTCCCTGAAGTACTTTCCCATAGGTATATGTACAGGATTTCCAGATAAATTCCCTATACTCCCCTGTCCAGTGAAGACATGGTCTTTCATTATTTCTCAAGCTCTTCTTACCTGCTGCAGGTAATTTTTCTCCACTTTCTAAAAGGCCATACTAGTTTTGACTTCCTATTCATGGGATGCAAGCCCATTATGTGGGTTAAGACTCCTGGTTTGTGTGTGTGTGTGTGTGGGGGGGGGGGTGTTGCTTGGTTGGTTTTTGTTTTGCTTTCTTTTTTTTTGGAAACATAATATACACTCGTCACACAGAATGTTTCAGCTTTTATTCTAGACTGAAATCTGCAGTTGATTAGCAAATTTCTGCATTTCTTGAGAAAGCATAAAACCCACATTTTACAATTACACTAAATTTAATAAACCAAATTTACACTTTTAAATGTTAGAAGGGTAAAGCCAAACAGCATAGTTTACACAAAGACTGTAAGAATTAACATGGAATTATAAATTTTATTCCTGTCTGATTTGTTTGCTTATTTCCTCTATGTATTTCCTAAGACATAGAAGGTAGTTATAAGACATACTGTCTGGACTCCCAAATCTCACAAAAATAGTGGTGGCCTAGAGGTGATACAGTGATTACCAGGGACTTAGAAAGTGACATTGATACTGAGTCCTCTTCCTGAAAACTAGGTTTTCAGTGTCTGTACCTGGCTGTGAGGGACAAAATAATACTCATACCTGTGTTTTCCCAGCAGCATCCAGAGACTACAGGACATACACAGGTCCATCTCAGGTAGGGGTGATACAATAGACAGAAAACTTCGTGGACCTCCCTCTGATCTGTGTTGTTGCTGCGTTTATGAAGACTGAATTTCCAATTAAAGTGACAGTTCTTGGCATCTGCAGTCAAACTTCCACTATGTCATTTATCCATCATCCTGGACAATCTAAAAGTCGATAAGTTTTAAAACACTATTTTTGAAAAATTACAGAGCACTCATACAAGAATTAAGTTTTAAAGAAATATCTGTGGAATGCTACTCAGAAATTTGAAGACTATTTGAACACATTCCAGACACCTCTGAAGGCTCAGCAGAGGCTGATTCTGAGTCCGGGATAGCCATCATTCAAAGGCATGACTGTTGGAAAGCTTTATTTTGAACAATTTACTGTTATTTGCACTCAAGACACACAGCCTTAGATTCACTTTCTCAACTAATACTTGAAAATTATCTTAATTTTCCCACAACCCTAAGAACTAAAGAACCAATTCTCATTCACCAAAATCAGAGAGGAGCTTGGGCTCCCTCCTTCTGCATATTTTTGAAGGGTATTTTGAATGTGAATAACTGAGAAACTGGCTTAAATGCCAAACTGGATAAACAAAATCTGCTGGCAACACTCGTAATACGCATGAAAGAGAACTTTCCTATAGGAAACAAACTTTAAAATCATATCATTCCTTCCTGTCATTCATCCTAAAGACACCATGTAAGACAGTGCAGTGACTGATGGGTCTGGTTACCCCAGGCCTTGTGTCTGAGGTGTGAACTGCAGAGGACTGGTCAGACTCCTCCTCCAGTTTTGTCTTTCACAGGTAGAGATAAAAGATATAAAAGCAGGTACCAGCTGATCCCCATGGGAAATCAGAGACAGATGTTCCCAGGGCTTCCAGAGGCAAACCCGGAGAATTGAACAAAGCTTAGGACTTCCCTGTGGTTAGAGTGTACGCAAGGGTCTAGCCAAGAAAAAGCTTGGGGTGTGAGGCGGGTCCCACTTGGGGCTGTCACTGAAGGGAGATCCTGGAAGAATAGTCAGGAAGTGGAACCAAGGATGGAACAAGTTGCATTTTTATTTTTTACAGTCCTCTAAGTAGCCTATGAGATTAAGACACATGTATTATTTATAGAGTTCTTTCTCCTCAAAAACTGCGCACACAAACAATTGCAATGGTCCAAGTCGTATGAGACCGGTGAAGTCCATGAGGGATGCTTTGGAGTACTTTACAGAAACCCCAAAGGACCAATATGTTGTTAAGAGCTGTTGACTGGTGCACCCCACTACAGAAGCAGCTCTCAGAAACTCGCTGGATACCTGGCTCCTCAAGAGGGCGCTGGAACCTGGCTCTGGTGATTTCTCTGAACTCTTGGCCCTTGCAGCCTCTGTGATCGTCTTTAGGGTGAAACCAGAGGTTGGAAAGAAGAAAGGTTGTCGGGGAAACTGGGTAGGTGATTATCTTTATTCTTGTCAGTCATAGCCAGGCTCCAGCCTCCTTCACCACCCCCACGCCCACCCCCAACATCTCCAGTGAGGCATGGCCTTAACCCTGTTACCAGGCAGTTAGAATGCACCTAAGAAGGGTCAGGACAGGCTGTTTACCGGCGTGACCAACAGCACGGGCATCTGTTGTGGAAGGCAAAGAAGCAAAATACACAGCAAGCGCTGAGACGCTGGAGGGGGGCGCCTAAGACATCGGGAAAATTAGACTCACGTTTCAACAACACTGCTTAAGTCACTCACCCTAAGTTCAGGGTCAAGCTCTGCACTTAGCTGTAAGGAGAAAGCAGTGCTGTGTCCTTACCCAACCAACCTATCCTCTACCTCACCTCGGGGCTGAGCAAATCCGGAATCACACAGTTCTGAGTAGAGTCTGCGGTTCTGCATGCCAGGAAGGGGCCTCAGGACAGGACGTCGGGGCTGCTGCTTGGGAACTGAACTCCCGGGGTTCCCCTGAACCCCGATGGCATTGCTGCCTCGGGTCCAGAGGGCATCAGGCGGCACGGCAGGACACCAGCTGCCGAAGGCTCCTGCGGAAGCTGTCATCCAAGAAGGCATAGAGGAAGGGATTGAGGCAGCTGTTGGCATAGCTCAGGCTGGTGATGAAGTAAGAGATGCCAATGACCAGCGGCGTTTGCGGCAGGTCGGTGGTGAGCGCCACTATGGTGCTCAGGTGGTAAGGCGTCCAGCAGATGAGGCACACAGCCAGGATCGCCGCCACCAACAAGGTCACACGCTTCTTGGCTCGGTCCAGGGCTTTGGCATGGCTGTCTAGCTGGATGGCACGCAGCCGGCACAGCAGGGTGGTATAGAGGGCGCAGATGGTGGAGACCGGGATGGCGAAGCCCAGGACCAGTGTGTACAGGCGGCTGGCACGCCACCAGAAGGCTTCTGGCTGCGGGAAGACCAGCACGCACTGGCGTCGGCCCTGCTCCTCGTCCAGCCGGGCGAACACCGCGAAGGGCAGCACGACCAGAGTCACTAGCGCCCACACCGCCAGGCTGACAGCGCGCGCAGCACCGTAAGTGCGCCCCGACACCCGGCGCGACTCGGCTGTGGCCAACACCACCAGGTAGCGGTCCGCGCTCATTACGGTGAGGAAGTAGAGGCTAGAGAATGTGTTGTACTGGTCGACGGCCACGATGAGCTTGCACATGACCTCCCCGAAGGGCCAGCGCCTCAGCAGGAAGTCGGCGATGTTGATGGGCAGCACGAGGGTGAAGAGCTCGTCGGCGATAGCCAGGTTGAGGATGAACACGTTGGTGACAGTCTTCATTCGCGGCGCGCGCAGCAGCACGTACAACACCGCTGAGTTGCCCGCCAGTCCCACCGCGCAGATTACCGCGTAGACGACAGGTACTGCTACCGCCAGTGGCTGCGGCAGCGGCAGAGGCGCAGGGCTCGACCCGTTGGGACAGCCCAGAGTCAAGCCGCCGCAGGACACATTGTCCCCGCCAGGCTCGGAGAGCGACAAGTTGTACATCTTGGCCACTGCAGGAGACCCGGCGGCCACCCCAATTTCACTCAGCAGTCCTGCGAGACCCGACTCCGTAAGTCTGCGTTGACAGGGATCTGCACCCGGGCACTGCCAAAGTCTCTGAACCTTTCTCTGGCTGTGTGTGCACCGGAGGGGCGTTCCCCGCAAGCTACTCAGCCCACTGTCGCCGGGAGTCCCAGGCTAAGCAGAATTAAAAACACAGGTTAGATTCCTGGATGTGTGGCTTTAGGGAGACGCGAGGTCCAGTGTTGGAGGTGGCTGCAGGTTCCCAAGCTCTTGCCTCCACCTGTGGAAATCTGATTCCAGCCCACTGAATACATCAAAGTACCGCGCAGAAGCCTCTAACTCCTAAGAACATGTACATTTACCCTACGCCCTGTTTTAGAGCACCAGGACACACTCAGGTCACCCCACCGAATTCTACAGAGGCACGTTTCTGCTAGATAATAGGACTACCAGCACAATCTTTATCTTACCTGGCTGGTCCCAGAAAAGATCTGTGTTTCCTGGGAAGGTCAGGGTAGAACGCCACTGCCTGCTGGAGGATGCTGCAGCCTTGGTGCCTGCCAGCCTGGTCTGCCTCCCAGAGTCTGCCCAGAGGCAGTGTCTCCCAGGAGGCTGAAGTGCAGGCAGCACACAGCCACAGTAAAGGTCTCTGTCAACCCGCCACCCTGTCCACTCCACTCCCAGGAAAACCCTCAGATCTAACAGAAAACAGCGTCCCCAAAAGGCTTCTTTGTTGCCTTCCTCACAGTTCAGTTGGAATCATGAAAAGCTCTCCTGTCAGGAATTGAATCTAAGAACAACAAAGTTCAAATGTTAATATTCTATTTTTAAAGAACAGTTGGAGAAAAGATTCCCATATCAGGTTTTTTATATTTTATTATTTTAAAATTTTAAATTTAAATGTATTTTGATCATATTCTTCCCCTTCCCCAAGTCTTCCGAATCTTCTTCCTCTCCCTACCCACCCAACTTTAAGTTCCTTCTCAAAACAAACAAACAAAAACCCAATACAACAATCCCCCAACCCAAGAAAACAAAATAAAACAACATCCAAAAAGAAAGAAAAATCTGTAACCAAATAAAAGCACACAAAATAGCTGTGAAGACCATTATATGTTGGTTAGTTACTCCTGAACATGAGGCCTGCCCTGAAGAGGATGATATACCCAGTGTCACTCCATTGGAGAAAACTAATTTTTGTTCTCCCAGCAAGTATAAATTTACACTTTACTCTAATGTCTAGGTTTTCATTCATTATTTAAAATATATAACAATATAAAATATAAGAAAAAACAAAAACTTTCCCATCAAATTTAGACAGGACAAACCAATAGAAGGAAAGGAACCCAAGAGAAGGGCCAAGAATCAGAGACCTACTCGTTCACACATTTAGGAATATCATAACAACACTAAATTGGCAGCCAAAATATATATGCTGAGGACCTGGTGCAGACCTGTGCAGGCCCTATGCATTCTGCTTCAGTTTTTGTGAGTTCATGTTGATTTAGAGGGCCTTGTTTTCTTGGTGTCCATCATCCCCTCTGGCTCTTGTACTTTCAGCCTCTTCTTCTGGGTGTTTTCCTGAATGAAGGAGACATCAAATTTAGACCCAGGTGTTCTCTTGTTCTCTCTCTCTTCTCTCTTCTCTCTCTCTCTCTCTCTCTCTCTCTCTCTCTCTCTCTCTCTCTCTCTCTCTCTCTCTCTTCATACTGTCTAGCTATGGGTTTTTATACTTTTTCCCATCTGCTGCAGGAGGAAGCTTCTTTGCTGATGGCTGAATACAGCAGTGACCTGTGAGTATAGCAGAACATCATTAGGAGTCATTTTATCACTACATTTTTTTAAAAGAGAAATATTGCCGGGCGGTGGTGGCGCACGCCTTTAATCCCAGCACTCGGGAGGCAGAGCCAGGCGGATCTCTGTGAGTTCGAGGCCAGCCTGGACTACCAAGTGAGTTCCAGGAAAGGCGCAAAGCTACACAGAGAAACCCTGTCTCGAAAAACCAAAAAAAAAAAAAAAAAAAAAAAAAAAAAAAAAAAAAAAAAAAAAAAAAAAAAAGAGAAATATTATTTGGTTTTACCCTAGGTCTCTGGGCTATCTAGTCTCTGGTTCTTGGTCAACCAACAATATCAGCTATGGATTCCATCTCGTAGAGTGGTCCCTAAGTGCAATCAGTTATTGGTTGGTTATTCCCACAAGCTTTGTGTCACCATTGCCTTGGCATATCTTACAAACATTACATCATGTAGATCAAAGTGTTTGTGGCTGGCTTGGTGTTTACATTTCTCTTCTGTTAGAATTTGGAGTACCTTTCTGTGCCAAAGACAGAAGAATGTAGAAGTGGAGGCTTTATGTCGGCACCTACTTGATATCTCCATGTTTAATGAGTTATGTAGGTGTTGTCTTCAGCAATGGGGCCTTGCTGTCAGTTTGTGGGGAGTAATCCATAGTCTTGGCAACAGCCTGGGTTGTTTAGGGATTCCCATGGAACCCCCTTGGCCAAAAACTCAACTGGATATAATCCAATCCTTGTACTAGAAGCTTCATTTTATAACAAGAGATGGCCAATTTGGACTCTGTCTCCCCCATTACTTGGCAATTTCATTTAGATCATCTTCATATGTGTATATATTTTATAAAGTTTCTACTGTATTAGGTTTCTATATAACCTTTCAAATGCACCTTAATTTTAGCTGCCTCTCACTGTTCTACCTCTCACAACTTCCTATCCCCCAGCCTCTCTACTTGCTCTTCCTGTTCCACCACCACTATCCATCCATAATTATCTATTTTATTTCTCTTTCCTGGCAAGATATGTCTGTTCACTCTAGTCCCTCCCTCTATACCCATCCTCTGTGGTTCTGCATATTGTAGCTTGGTTATCATTGACCATTGACTTAACAGCTAATATTATAAAGTATGTTCCTTGTATCCTTAATCTCCTGAGAATTTTTATCATGAAAGGCTACTGGATTTTGTCAAAGGCCTTTTCTGCATCTAATGAAATGATTATGTGGTTTTGTTTTTCAGTTTGTTTATATGGTGGATTATATTTATGGATTTACATATATTGAATCATCCCTGCATTTCTGCTATGAAGCCTACTAAATCATGATAGATGATCTTTTTGATGTGTTCTTAACACAGTCTGTAATGATTTTATTGAGTATTTTTGCATCAATGTTCATAGGGGAATTGATTTGTAATTCTCTTTCTTTGTTGAATCTTTGTGTGATTTAGGTATTGGTAACTGTGGTCTCGTAAAATGAATTGGCCAATTTTCCCTCTGTTTCTCTTTTGTGGAATACTTCGGAGTATTGACATTAATTCTTCTTTGGAAGTCTCATAGAATTCTGTGCTAAAACCAACAGCCCCTGGCTTTTTATGGTTAGGAGACTTCCAATGTCTGCTTCTATTTCACTAGGGGTTATAAATCTATTTAAATTGCTTATCTGATATTGATTTAACTTTGGTAGGTGGTATGTATCGAGAATATTATCCATTTCTTTTAGAGTCTCCAATTTGATGGAATACATGTTCTAAAGTGTGTTCCTCTGATCCCTAGGTTCCCCAGTGTCTGTTGTTATGTCCCCCCTTCATTTCTTTTAGCTAATTTAAATAAGGGCCTGTCAATCTTATTGATTTTTCCAAAGAACTAACTTTTTGTTTTATTGATTCTTTATTTTGTTACTTTGTTTCTATTTAACTTATTTCAGTCCCCAGATTGATTATTTCTTGCTGTCTACTTTTCTTAGATATGATTTCTTCTTTTTGTTCTAGAGCTCTGGTGTGCTGTCAAATTGCTAGTATGATTTCTCTCCAATTTTTTTTTTACAGAGGCACTTAGTGTTATGTACTTGCCTCTTAGAATATTCTTTATTGTGTCCTATAAGTTTACATATGTTATGTATTCATTTCCATTCAATCCTATAAAGGCCTTAATTTTTTCTTAATTTCTATCTTGATCCATTTTTCTTTGAGTGGAGAGTTGTTCCATTTCCATGAGTTTGTAACCTTTCTGTTTTCTCTTATGTTGATATTTCGCTTTAATCTGTGATGGTCAAATAGAATGCATGATGCTATTTTGATTTTTTTGATGTTAAGGTGTGTTTTTTGGATGCAGTAGAATGACAGATCCTGTTTTTACATCTATTTTCTTGGTCTGTTTTGTTTTATTGAAGAATTGAGACCATGAGGTAGCACTGGCTAATGATTGTTGGTTGCTGTTATTTTATTTTATTGTTATTTTATTGTTGTTGTGTGCTTCCCTTCTTTTAATTTGCTTGTGTGGGATCGTTTGTTTGTGTTTTCTTGGATATAATTAATATCTTTATATTGGAATTTTCTTCTAGCACCTTCTGTAGGACTGTATTTGTAGATAGACATTGTTTAAATTTGATTTTTATCATGGAATGACTTTTTTTTCCATCTATGGTGACTACTATACTGCATAGAGTAGTTTGGGGAGAGATTTTTGGTCTCTTAGAGTCTGCAGCACATCCATCCTTGCCTTTTTTGCATCTAGAATCTTCATTGAGAAATCAAGTTTAATTCTAATATGTTACTTTGTCTTTTTCCCTTAGAGCTAATAATATTTTCTTTGTTCTATATGTTGAGTGCTTTGATTATTATATGTCAGGGAGAATTCCTTTTCTGGTGCAGTCTATTTGTTGTTCTATAAGCTTCTTGTACTTTGATAGGCATCTCAATCTTTATGCCAAGGAGATTTTCTTCTATGATTTTATTGAAAATATTTTCTGTGCCTTTGACCTGGGTGTTTTCTCCTTCCTTTATTCCTATTATTCTTTGATTTGGTCTTTTCATAGTGTCCCAGATTTCCTTTCCAGATTTCCCCAGATGTTTGGGGTCATGAGTTTCTTATAATGAACATTCTTTTTTATTGATCTACCCATTTCATCTATTGTGTCTTCAATGCCTAAGATTCTTTCTTCCATCCCTTGTATTCTGCTGGTGAGGCTTATTTCTGTTGTTCCTGTTTGAGTTCCTAAATTTTTCATTTCCAGATTTGCCTGTTTGAGTTTTCTTTATTGATTGCATTTCTACTTGGATGGTTTATTCATTTTCTTCCACTGTTTGTTTGTGTTTTCATCGATTTCTTTAAGAGATTTATTCATCTCCTCTTTAAAGACCTCTACCATCTTCTTACAGGTGATTTTAAGGTCTTATGCTTCAGCTATATTGGAATATTCAGCCTGCTGTGGCTGAGTTGCTGGGCTGTAGTGGAGACATATTATCCTGGCTGCTATTGATTGTGTTTTCACAGTGTTATCTATGTCTTGGAATGGGAAGATTGTAATTCTATGTGCTGATATCTGGCCTTGTCTTTATTGGATAGATGCTTTGTTCCTTGGTTTTTGTTTCCTCTCAGGCTCTTAGAAGAGTGTGGTGACTGTGCATTGTCTGATAGGAAAATCTTCTGGAGTCCTTATAGCTGTGGGCACTGGGGTTTCTGTGTAAAATGTGTTTCTGGGTATTAGGACCTGAGACTTAGAAATGGGGATGGGATGGGCCTTGGGATGGAAGGGCTTCATAAGATGGAGGAAAGCAAGGTGTTCTACCAGAATCTGCTTCTTTAATCTTCTTGGTGGCAAGATTGAGGAGAGACCACAGCAGTTTTGGGGATGATACAGAGTTGGGGATGAGACTGGGGGATTGGACTTGAAAGAATGGAGGGAATGGTGAAGAGCTGTATGTAGCTTATCTGCTTCTGTGGGCTCTCAGGGTGTAACTGCTGGGTTTGGGGTCTTGGACAAAGCAATGAGTTGGGGAAGGGAGTAGGAGGGAAGATCTGTAGGATCCACTGGAGATGGGAACAGCGGAGGAAAGGGAGGTTGCCATGTGTGTTCTGCTGCCCAGCTGGGGATGAGACTAGAGGACTAGAGTTGGAGAAATGCAGGGAGAGGTGAAGATTTGCAGTTAGCCTACCTGTTTCCCTGGTAGGAGTGGCCTGTGGGTTCCCGTGGAGTGCCTATTGGAGTTGGGGCCTAGGATAATGCAATGAGAGGTTGAGAAGTTAAGAGGGGAACATAATCCGATAGAAATGGGATTGAGTCTTCCACATGTTTTCTGCTGCAGAGCTGGGGATGAAATTGGAGAATTGGATCCAGAGGAGCAAAAGGAAATATGAAGATCTGTCCCATTCCATGTTCTAAAAAAATATGCCCTGTGGTGATATATTGTGTCCTCCAAAATATTGTGCACCCTAATAAAGTTTATCTGAGGATCAGAGGAAAAAGCCAGCCACTATATTAAACATGGAAGTCAGGCAATGGTAGCACATGCCTTTAACACCTTTAATTCCATCACTCAGGAGGCAGGGATCCATCTGGATCTCTGTGAGTTCAAGGCGACACTTTGAACAGAGCCAGGCATGGTGGCACATGACTTAAATTCCAACATTAGTTAACCATACAGACAGACAGGAAGTGACAGAGCTGGGCAGGAAGAGGAAATGATGTAGCAGGGCAGAGAGAGGAAATGAGATATCAACAGAAAGGCATACAGGCGTGGGTATACAGGAAGTAGGTCTCTTTGGCTGAGGATCTCCAAGTGGTGAGAAT